GTGCATATATTAAGTGGAGCTCATCCCCTTTTACAGTATTAGATTGATTAAAAAAATATTTTAGTATATAAATAGCATGATCATATTACTTAAATCATATGGATCAAAATAAAATAATTATTTGTTATTACATTGCATGGGGCCTAGATATTATGCATGTTGAGAGAGAATATATGAGCCCATGAAAATTTTGTTTACTTAAAAAATATGTTCATAATTTTATTTTAAATCAAAATTTCATCTTTTTTCACATAGGACTAGTCATTTAAAGCACATCATGAAAAATAATGATTTAAGTGACTTGGATCCATATTCAAAAAAATTTCAAGTGAATCATATTAAAACATGGTTCAAATCCTATTTAAATAAGGTTTGGCATGATTCAATTTCACTAAAATAAAGTTTGAATAGTGCTTAAACAAGATTTGAATGAGTTTTGAACAAGGTTTACATATGGTAGATATAAATGAGTGTATCTCAATAAATTTAACAATGGTTGATACAGTCGAATGCAATCATAATTGCTAAAACAAATTAAATTATATAAAATTAATATAAACTAGTAAAATTCAAGAGTACTGGTATAATAGACCGCTAGCAAAATCACCAAGACAAAACTTACTCTATAATATGTATTATAACCATACAATGATCATTAACTTTATGTAAGGCATGGAATCCTACCTCTTTATTAGGCAAGTTCATGTAAGATAAGAGTGAGTTATCCATGTTATCTTCATAATTAATTTGTTGCTTTGAGCTCTAAGGTATTTAAACAATAAGAATACCTTGGTTGTTTACTAATGTTAGGTTTATCACAAAATGGTATTGCTATCTCTAATAGGCATTATAATATTTAATTATTCATAGATTCATTATAGAACATCTATAATTGGAATGGCCATAGCATAACTCATATATTATATGTATTGTGTTTATATTATCACCTACACTTGCAAAAAATGATGGAATAACTATTCTTTTATCATTCTCATTTGAACAAAAAAGTGCAATTAAAATCTTTTGGGAGTTTTAAATACATATACAAGACATTACTTTTGATGGATATGAATACCTTATTTAATAAAAAGAAATAAGATCATAATTTATTAGTAGATCATTTGAAGGAATTAAAATTGTGGATTGTACTCCACTGAAGTAGTAGTTCAACATAGTTTCAAATTAAAGTAGTTCTTATCAATCTTCATCTCTTATTAAAAATCATAAGATTTTTCAATGGAGATACTTCCTTACACAACTAATCATTAACACTATTTTATAGAAAAAATGTAATGGAATTGATTCTCTTCTTTTCATTATTCTTAATAAAATATAAGAATTATGGTACTTGATTCATTTATAAAAAATAGATGTTTAACATATGACTTCATTGTTGTTCATATGGGTGTTTGAATATTTTCTATACCATGATCAAATATAGTTTCAACAAGGTTCGAACATGTGTTAGAACGTGCTCAATTCCCGCACGACCATGGTTTTAAACTAGCTTGAATATATGTTTTAAGAAATTTCAAAATATTCTCTTTGCTAATATAATTAGGTCTATTTAAAGTTCCATCAAAATGACCAAATTTATCTCATACAATAGAAACACTAAGAAAAGATTATCACATTTTCTGAAATCATGAATTAACTATTTTCTTTTTTCAATTGAGTTTCATAGACAGTAATATCTAACTCTATTTAGTGAATAAATCATGAATAAAAAGGAAGTAACAATGATGGAGAAAGTAAAATTGTACAGCAAAAACTACAATAACAAGCCCTTATCCCACTAAGTAGGGTCGGCTACAAGAATCCTTTTTCTCCAAAGCATCCTATTAAGTGTCATATTTTTATTTAATTATAATAAATTAAAAACAATTTTTATACAATATGACTAACTCTTTCGAGGTTTGTCTCCGCCTTTTTTAACATAAGTTAAATATAAAGCATCAACTCTCCTAACTAGATTTAATGTGACCAAACCATCTAATAGGACACTCTAATTATGTCCACCGCTTGAGCTACACCAACTCTATCATGGATATATTTTATTTCGCATTTTTCTCTGTGTGTAAAGTCACTCATCCATCAAAGCATTCTTATCTCAACAACACTTAACTTAGTTTTATGCTTCTCTTTTAAAAGCTAACATTCTGCGTCATATAGCATTGTAAGTCTCGCCACCATTTTATAAAGTTTTCATTTCAATCAAAGTGGTACTTTCCTATCACATAATAGAGTCAAAGCATTCCTCCACTTCAACCAACTAACTTGAATTCTACTAATAACATCTCTAGTTATATCACCATCACTTTGAACAATAGACCTGAGATATCTAAAGCGTTCACACTTTTAATGGTTTAATCACTCATAGTTACAACTTTATCACTAGTGCTACTACTACTAAAATTACATTCAATGTATTCAGTTTTAGCTCTACTCAAACAAAAGACTTTAGGCTCCAATATAAACCTCCATAATTCAATTTTTCCTGATCTCTTTCTCTATTCTTATCCTCTCTTTCTCTATTCTTATCCACAATAAGGATATCATTATGGAAAAGCTTACACTAAGGTACATCCTCCCGTAAATGTTCAGTATGAGCATCCATAACTAAAGCAAAAAAGATATAGGCTTAAAGCCGATCCCTTATGTAATTCAATTGAAAGAAAGCAAAAGTGTAAAACGATGCAATGTAATTATTTTGATATAACAGGATGCAAGCATCGAAATGGCATTTTGGTTCATAATGAATTTGTCTAAGGCATTTTTCCCAAGAAAACAAACAACATAAACGTTTCCCCAATTATGCCAAATCGTCGATTATGAGGCATATAAAGTCAAATTTCCCTTAAGAAAAGTAATTTCATCATATAATTAAATATATGCACACACAAATGTTCTCTCTTAGGCATGTGCTCAAAAAGCGGTACAACAATTTCAGAGACTAATGTGAGTTATCCCAATATCACCTCTTGAATCAAAATATTACTTCAATGGCCATTTCATCATTTAACTTTTCATAAGACATGCAATCTTTCCTCTTTATCAGGCATGTTCACTGTGCTCATAAAAAAACGTGAGAGAAAGCACACAGAGAAGGTTGAGGTGTAAAGCAACATTCTTACAATTTGAATCGTCATGTACTATTTTATAGTTTTTTTTTTCAAAAGTCATAATACTTTCTTAATCAGTTCTCATTCAAACCTTCATCAGTCGAATAACAAAGTGGGATAGTTGCCTTACAAGCATAAGAAGAACAAATCTACTGTTTTATTTTATTGGGATATTTATAGATATACCACCCAATTCCTAAGTATTTACATATCTAAAACTTATAGTTTTTTTTGCATTTATACAAGTCAAATCTTACATATCACATAAAAAATACCACCATTTTAACTTTTAAAATGTGCAATACACTTTTTTCATTCATTAGGTGGTATATATGTGTACATAAAAAATGTGTTAGCGTTGATCTTGAGGAATCTAATGGTTCAGACGGGGAAAGTAAAGTAAAGGTGAGTCAACTGAAAGAGAATCATGAGGCTTGCTCATCTAATCGAGTGATGTTGTCTGAGCCAGACCAACAAGACAAAAGTCGACCAGATCATGAAACAAACCATAAACGATCAGAGGATATAAGAACGAGCCACTCAACCATAGATGAGACAAAAGGGGACATGAACAAACTACCACAGCAAAGTCGATCCAAGGAATATCTAGTTTCCTAGCATCTTCAACCATTCCAGAGAAGCCTGGAGGTTCCTCATCAAAGTTCAAGAATTGACAGTCAGGTCAGTCAGCTGATCCATATTGATCTAGCTTAGACGACCAAACTGATCTATACCGACCAAGTTCAATCGACCGGGCTGACCTTGCCGATCGAAAGCCAATTAAGCTTAGATGGCTGAGCCAAAGAGCAGCCGGACGATGAGCTCATATATGTAAAATATAAAAAAAATGCCACAGTATAAACCCCTCTATAGCAATAGCAATAATATAACATTATTTTCTATCATTTTCTCTACAAATATGGGAATCACTTCATGAATAAGACATGATCTATTACAAGGGATTGCTTTTTATTCTCTTCTTTTCAGACTCTATTTATTTGTCTCTCCTTATTAAGGCTCTATTTCTTGGAGTGATTCACATACAAATCAAGATTCAACAATACCTAAAAATTGAGGTTTTGTTCTTAGACATTTAAATACATAAGAATAAAATGGTATGTATGTAAATCTTCCTTTATTTTTACTATTACTAATGATTTCAACAAAGAATCCATCTTCAGTTAAACTAACAAATGAAAGAAATATTGTCTCCAGTAAAAGAACATTCAATCTCTCTCACACAGTAATTATAAAGTTCTGTTTTGCTCAGCCTCAGGCTAAACGGATTCTCCCCAAAAGGATATCAGCGACCAAAGATTCACTTCTCTTCTACTAAAAAACATACTAATTGCCAAAAATCTGCCCAAATTTACTTAAAATTAACCGCTTGACATTTATTCAGGAAAAAAAAAAAGTGACCATTACTACACATAACAATCTTAATGCAGACTAGATAAAAGCATCAGAATATATACACACAGACTCCTCATGCAAATTTCAAATTATTTGAATCTCAAGCCAAGCAGTTGTCTCACAGAAAGACGAAGCTTTTAACAGATGACACACAGATTGGAGTTTTCCTCTTGGGGCGGAATATAGTAATGTGTGTTCATCTGTGTGTGATAAGCTCTGTAGGCCTTAACAAGCTCCATCATCATCTGTTCATGAGGGTTAGGGGGCTCCTCTTTTTTAGCTGGTTCTTCCTTCTTTTCTGTCCCTTCCTTTTTCTCAGGCTCTTCTTTCTTTGCTTCCTCTTTCTTAGGCTCCTCTTTCTTAGGCTCTTCTTCTTTTTTGGGCTCTTCTTCTTTCTTTGGCTCTTCTTTTTTCTCAGGTTCTTCTTTCTTTGGTTCGGGCTCTTTCGCCGGCCCGATCGAAGCAATTTCAGTGTGCCAAAGCTTTCTTAGTTTGCTCACAACATCAACCGGATCGACCGTTCCAATCACGGTTAAGTTCTTCTCTTTCATGTCAATGGAGATCATGTCTATTCCTGTTAGAACACAGAGAGAAGTGAAGGTATATAACTGAGAAACTTCAGGTGCTGTTTACCATAACAATTAAGTAAATCCAATACTAGAGCAAACTAGAACTGGAAAAGCATTTTATCATGACAGTTAAATCTTATTACAAATTTAAAATCTCAAAAATAAAATGTTTGGAAGGATTTAAGTTAGATCTTACTTAAATTATGCATAAAAAAGGATCTAAAAACCTATAAGAGAACTTTGAGCTAATAAAGGAAGGTGAGATTGATATACCAGGAAGGGTGGCTACAACCTTCATAGCCTTCTGCTTGGCTTTGTCATCATGTAAATCTAATTTCAGAACAAGTTTCTGCAAAAAAGAGGAGAGGATCACGATCAGATTAACATCCGATTTTACTTTCTCCATCTTTTCAAAAGAATGATTCCGATTCCTATGGAAAATATAATTAGAAAATCTATTAATTAACTTATGAATTGATTTTTATTTTCTTATCAGGGTATTAATTATTCTATTTCCATGCAAATCAGTAACGGCACAGCATTTTTTTTTTTTTTTTTGACTAATGGAATGTTTAAAAAAAGTTCAATGACAAGATTCCAAAAGAACAAAAATCATAACTAATGGAATGTTTAAAAAAGGTTCAATGACAAGATTCCAAAAGAACAAAAATCATAACTGATAATCTCTCAGATCTCATTCTAATATATAACTTCATAAAATAATTAGAAAAATCTCATCTCTGCACCATTGAAATAATCGGATTATGATTATAAAATCAAAAGAACATGTGGAATAAGGGGCAGTTCATGTGCAAGAAATATAAATCAATCACCTCCCAGATTTCGTTTTCTGACAAAAATTTCGAAGAAAGAAAACAACATAAAAATTATACAGTATAAAAATGCCATCTTTACTACAAAACAAAGTAAAACAGTGGCAGATTTGTAAGATGCCAGTCAAAGATGCCGACTTTTTAGCGCAGGAGTGATGGCAATATACTAAAGAAACCAATATTCAATCAAAGCTAGCTCCTTTCAGCCTTCTGAGAGAATCCTACCTTCATTTCTCCGGAGAGAGTTAATTACAGGCAAGGAGGAAGATGATTGATGATGGCACGAGATCTAGCAGCAAAAAAATGGGGAATGAAGAGAGGGAGTGGTTGAGAAGAGTGGAGGTAAAGGTAAAGAAAAAGTAGAGCTGATAAAGCCGGGCTCCGATGGAAAAGTGAAAGAGGCGAAAAGAAATAGTTATAGAGACAATATCGTCGGCTTCCAAAAAAGGAGTGGGCCTTCGGCTTTCAGCATTCTCTCTCTTCTGTGCTGTGCTCGCGGAGGAATAGAGAGAGAGAGAGACAGAGAGGTGGGGTGTGATGCGTCGTCAGCTACAGATCCGAAAACGGGGTAGAAGTCGACATCGATCCGACGTGCACAGCCTTCTTTTTTCCACCGTCTCTCTAAAGCCGTGGAGAGATTGAAGAGGATCATTTGATATGTGTTTTCCCGCGGAACCAAGCCCATTGCTATCCTTATTTTATTTGGGACGCACAGGGATGCGAGGGTCTGGCATTGTACGTTGAAGCTTAATTTATCCTTAAATCATATTCAAAGAATAAAGATATGAGAGAGATACAAAGAGGGAAGTGTATGGTAATAAATTGTAATTTGAGATAAACGTGTCACCTGTTTTTCATTGAACGATTACAAAGTTAACTTTAGGCATCTATTTAGTTGGGGGTATATGGATTCTTCTATGTATTTTAAGTATATGAGCACAGAGTTTGGTTGCTCTTTTGCTCAACAGGTTGAACTCGAGAGGGCTTATTGTCGGCCAACTAGGCTAATGAGACCTTGTCAGGCGTAATGAGTTGTCCAAGTTAGGTAGGCGTTTACCGGTCATCCTATCTCTTATTGGTAAGGGGTTTTGGCAAGGTCGGTCGGGTTAGGTACGTGTTTACTGGTTAGCATATCTCATGTTGGCAAGGAGTTGGCAAGGTCGACCTGGGAGTTAAATCTTACTAATCTATTTGATGAGCAGACCATTGGTTCTTGATCCATGATGAGGAATTCTCGTTGATAGGGTGAAACTAGTTTAGCAGATAAAGGGTGAGTCATTGTAATTCGATAGATAGTTACTCTAAGACGAAGAGATGATTCTAAGGGATGGATGAGACTTGTCCTATTGATGTACGATAAGACTACTGAGTGTCTCCGATAGACCTCCAGGACCTGAGGGGTTAGCTTCTCTCTTCGGGTTAGTTCCATCACGAGGTATGCCTTGGATCCCCAGGTGCTTCGTTTCCAATATGATTGCTCATGTTTAATTGTTTGGTTTACTTTGTTGGCCTTGACCTTGATAGCTCTGATCAGATAATTGAGACTCTGGATCTCATGTCGGTGAGCCCTTCTTTGATATGTCCTAACTCGTGTGTATCATCAAATCTCTTCAAGAATTATGTTGTCGCTTTTCTTATGTATAATGCCCATATAAATAGCATGGTGATTTAGTATGATATTTTTTCTTTCTTATAGGGAAAATGAGGTATTTTGTCGTGCTATTCTCTGAATTTATTTTTTTTGTGGGCCTTAAAAATTGTCATTCAAATGTTTTTTGTATGATGTTTGATTAAGGCATATTATTTTACATTGAATTATAGATACTTACAAACAAATGTCTAAAATTTTAAAATTCCTGCATTATGAATGCAATACACCAATAACGCTGTATGAAAGGAAAGATAAATGAACCATTAAGTTGAGCTAATTACATTTTATGGGAGCCAATACTATAGCGGGGATGATTGAGTTTATAATGGTGTTGAAATATGTAGCATATTTGTTGAAAATAAAAGAAAGAATCACAAGATGTCGAATATGAGTAATTATCCTCCTAAAAAAAAAAAGAACTTAATGTAAATTAGATGACTCATATATAAATTGTAGCCTATGTGAACTATAAAGAGGGAGGGAGCAGGGGGAAATAAATTCACTAATAATAAGAATCAAAATATGTGATTCCAACTTGTAACTTCTTGAAGATGGCAAGGAGTACAAGAGATTAAAGGAGTTATTAGTTTTGTTATAACAGATGGTATTGAACTGAGGCACATCAATAATTGGAGAAAATTTATTAGATTATTTAGAATATCACAAATTCATATAAATTTATAGAATAGTACTCCTAGAAACTCACAATTAAAATTAAAGACACAAACTCGTTTTAGATAAAAATAATATATTTTAATTGTTGAATTCTTTTAGGACGTTTGGTCTTGTAATATCTACATGTTCA